AATTGTCACTTGATTTCTTTTTTTTCTTTTTTTTTTGGAGGGGGGGGTCAGTCATGGGGCTTGAATTCAGGGCCTGGGTCCTATCTCTGAGCATTTTGGCTCAAGGCTAGTGCTCTGCTACTCTTGAGCAGATCACCTAAAAACCACTTCAGGTTTTTAGGTGGCTAATTGGAAGTAAGAATGTCACAGCCTTTCCTGCCCAAGCTGGCTTTGAACTGTTATCCTCAGATCTCAGCCTCCTGGGTAGCTAGGATAACAGGCGTGAGCTACCATCACCCAGCTTATCGAATTTCTTTTTATGTTGAAGCCCAAGTGGAAGTTGTAGCTCTGTAGATCCTAAGATTCCACAGAAAGTGTATGGCTTCTAAAAAGATATCTCAATGACTCACTGATTCCATCAACAACATCACTATTTAGGCATCAACAACATTCAGTTAAAAATACTCAACCCAGCAATGATTGCTTCCACAGTTGAAGCAGTGTTAGCTGCTAATGGGCAAAAGTAGGATTCAAGGAAATACTATTATTTGAGCTGATAGCACTGTGAAGTTAAAAATAAAAAAATATGCATATTGATTATGATGCAGTATACTCATAAATTGATAAGTTGAATGGAAACTCCTTTGTACTTGAAGATAATAGTTTAAGAGAAAGATGCAATGATAAGAGCAAAAGAGAAAAAAGGAAAGACTGGAATGTCTTTAAAAAAAACAGTTTAGTACAAATGGAAACATGTTTCAAACACAGTGCTCAGAATTTGTCAAAGTAGCTATGAGGATGGATCCGGGAAGTGGGCACAGTCAGGGACTGGGAATTCAAGGAGGGTCAAAAAACAAGAGAAGCAGAGGGTGACTAAGGGAAGAGGGAGCTAGCCTTGCTAGCTGCCTTTTCTAGGTAGAAATTAGATATTGCTTTAATGAGGTTGTCTCCCCTTCTTCATGAGATCATGGGCTCCACCTTTCCCCAGAGCTTGCTTCTGGTCCCCCATCAGGGTTGCTCTTCCTGGGATAGGATAGACAGGGAGATAGGTCTCTGCCTGAAATTCTTTTAGGTACTCCAGTACCTAAAAGATGAACTCCAGTTCATCTTACTCCAGAGGTAGAGACAAGCTAGAGAAGTCTGAGGCTTGTAAAAGCTACTTGGTAAGTTAGGATTTCAGGAAAAGGCTCAAATCTGTTCCTACTCGTACTCATCAGAAAAAATACAACCCCCAAACTACTAAAAGCTTTCTAGGGAGACCTGTAGGTAGACTAAATGGGGCTTTCACAATGGTGGGAAATAAAGTCCATCCTCAAGACCAAGCCAGATGTCAGCTACATAAAGAGGACACTTGGTCATATGAATAGAAGCAGGTGCAGAGGATAATAGATGCGATTTGGGAGACTTGTTGTCTGAGTTTAAACAGCAATTCTGTCCATTTCCATACCACTCTGGAGAAATTCACCTTGCAGCGCCTGTTTGTTCCTCTGTAAAATACAGGTGATGAGCCATTGACCACCTCCAAATACCATGTAGACTAAAGAAGTTCATACTTGTGCTTACCAGTGGCACATAGTAAGTATGCACATTTACCCTTGTTATTTATCACCCAAAGTTGCTACCATGGACTGCAGAGGGGAATGATCCACGTGAAGAATGCTGACTCCAGAATCGCTCTGATTTAGAGCAGTCTTGGGCTTTGAAATCAGAGAGATTGGACATCAGATCCTGGTTTCAAGGCTCACTTGCTGCATGACCTTGAGAAAGTTACACCAATTCTCTGAATTTATTTACACCTCAGTAAAATGAAGATTATAGTGCTTGCCCCAAAAAGTGGCCAGAAGTGAGCAAATTGAAGGAAGCACTTTGCCTAGTGCACAGTAGCACATAGTTGGTGGTTATTCTTCGAGGGACTATGTGTTCAACCAGTTCAATCTCTCAGTTCAGTAAGAATTAGCATCTGGCTTCAGATGGCTTAGTGACATTTAGTTAATACTCCACCCACTCTCAGTATTTTTGCACAGGTACGGGGTAGGGTGGTATGGAGGATGGAGTGTGTGTAACTGTGAACTCCCCAAATCTATCACCTCAGAGGAGGGGATTCTGCAGGGACAAAGAAAGAGCTGGAATTTTGAGGCTCTCCTCAAAGCAATCCCCCATTGAATACTGCTTATTTTGTGTCCCAGATATTCCTTTCAGATTGGAAAGGGAAGCTAGGTCCCCAGACTTCTTCATCTCCAACCAAAAGCTTTGTTGATGAAAAAGCTGAGTCTCTCGGCTTTTTGCAACAAGGTATACTAAATATAAGGAAAGCCATTCCTAGGTGGTCCCAAGGTTACACATAAAAAAGCAATAGATTAATAGAATATCTAAAAAATTAAACTATTGAGCAATTTTTTCTAATATTTTCTATGGTTTTCAAACATTACAATCACAGAAGGATTTAACTGCCCTTCAAACATTTTTTGGGGAATTGGAAAGAAGGAAATCACCCCCACTGCTCACAGTGACAATGGTTCACAAATTCAGTGTTAAGATATCCTTATTCCTGGTCATTCATCACACTCCAGAAGAGATGAGACCTTGAGCTTCAAAGGCTCAGAGTGCACACTTCAAAGGATCAAACAGGTTTCCTATGAGGAGAGAGTCACAATATTTTTGAGATGTTTCTATTTAGGAAAATTGTATAACAGGAGAAAATTGTATTTTTATGAGACACACGTACAGACCAAAGAAAGCTCCAGAATTACCCAGAAGGAAAAAAATGCCCAGAAGAAAAAGATAAACAACTATTTCTGAAAGATGAATCTGATTTTTTTAATCGCTTCCTACAATGGTCAATGAGAAATGATTAGAAAATGTGAAAGTTATATGTATGTATGTGTGTGTATATATATATATACTATTGAATAGTATAGTCGATTGTGTAAGATTAATTCATGAGGCACTAGCTTCAATCCTCAGCACCACAAAGTTAACAATCTGAAAAGTCACAAACACCTTAAGTCAAAAGCCATCAAAGGGATTCTCTTTGGAGAACTTGAATAAAACCAATAGTTGTCATCATTTTATCCCAGCCTCCTCTTTCTGGGCTGCTCATCTCCTTTGATGGGTCTTTTCTTAGTGGTGTCCTTGAGCTAGTCTAGGCTTGGCAGAAAGGACAGGAAAGGATGCAGCAGCATCACTATTGCCAGAGACAGCAATACCTCCCAGTCTCCCCAAAGGAGGGATCCACCCCTCTCAACAATGCCCGCTCGCTCCCACACCAAGGTCTTCCTCTAGCCTGGGATGAAAACCAGGCTCGGTCTATAAGAAGCGGAGACACAGAGGTAGGCCAAGGTCTTCCTGTGGGGAACGGGCCCAGCTGCCCCCCACCCCTTACAGCTACCAGAATAACCGCAGTGACACCCTGACAATAGGCAGCGGCGGGAGCAGCTGCTCCAGAAGGATGTCAGTAGCCCAGCTGCGGCGGTTCTGATAAGGGAGGAGGTTTACAGCCCAGAAGGGATGTGAACCCCGAACCCATTATGGTGCCTGGACCCCCAGAGGGGAAGCCCTGACGTGGAGGGCTTGGTTGGGGAGGGCAGGGCACGGGGTCTGCAGGGCCGCAATAATAATAGAATTGGTTTCCAGTGTCCAGCTAAAGAAGGATAAAAAGGATGTGTGGTGGGATCCTTTATCCGCACAGCTGGAGAGTTTTCTTCCTTCTACACAAATCAGGCGAGTGGGGGCAATGCATGGAATCCCAAATGCGAGGTGAGTTGCCAGATGGATTTCTAGATCAAAAGGAAGGTTTCAAAAATCCACACACCCCCCCCCTGAGGCGAAGGTGTGACCCAGTCAGTACTCAGAACCTGTGTGTGTGGGGAGGAGGGGGGGAGCCTCCAAAACCAGCCGGGACCACGGGGGATGAACTGCAGGGCAGAAACCCAGAGCTGGGACGCGCCCCTCCTCCACCTGGAGGTCCCCCGGCGCAGCCAGGCCCCCACCCCGCCTCGCAAGCCAGGCGCTCTTCCTTCCTTCATGACCTCACTGCCTCCTTCCCTTGACGTCAGCCCCGGGTCCTCGCGCAGCGGGGCGGGAGGGTGGGGATGGGTTGGGGGCAGTTGGTGTCAGGAGCCCCTTAGCACCCGCGGGAGGGGGGGGGGAAGCTATGAGCTAATGTGCGCCCAATCCGCGGCTGCACCGAGCGCCGGCCGCCCCTTCCCACCCCACCCCACCCCCGCCCCACCTTCTCGTGCGGCGCAGGCCGGGTGTGCGCCGCAGTTACTTAGCAACCCTATCGGAGACGCGGGATGCCGGCCAAGTTCACCCAAAGTTGAAGAATAAATCGGGGGGGCGGGGAGGGGGAGAGGGACGATAGAAAATAGAGCGAGAGAAGAGCCCGGGCAGGGGCGCGGGGCGGGGAGAGGCTACCCAAATGGGGAACAGGTTGGGGGCTTCCCCTCTCTGGAACTAGAAAGGCGTGGGTGGGCCGGCGCGTCCCCACGCGGGACCCCACGAAGATCCCACCATGATCCCGGCAACCTTGCCTCAATGGACAGCCCACGAAACACTACCGAAGGCTGAAGTCTACGGAGTTGAGGAGCAGCTGGCCTTGGCCGGCCCCGGCCAATAGTAGTAGTAGTGTCCAGTGAGACCCACTGGGGACGAAGGAGCTTGAGGAGAATCCAGTGGGAATGGACTCTTGTGTTTAATCTCTCGTCGGGAGGAAATTAAAGGCCTCCCCATAAAGTCTCTTATAAAAGTAACTCCTCCACGCACAGTGCCCTCGTCCTCAGCCCCGTACAGAAACTGCTCTCAACTAGAATCAAAACAAGACTAATCTGCAGGGGAGATCTACTTTAATTTGCTTCAAGTGGCTGGGTGAAATTAAGGCATCCTTTGTCTCCCGAAGACCCCTGTGAATCTTGCAGTCAGGGCTGCCGCGGGGAGGGAGAGGCAGGGAGGGGTGTCTGCCGGTTCCAGGCCCCTCTCCCGCGTGGTGGTTACCCGCACCCTCTCCCCCGCGCGCATCTTACCTGCTGTAGGGCGTCCTCAGCAGCAGAGCCTGGCTGCCCGTGCAGCTGTCGGTGGGCGTGTGACAGCCGTAGACCGGGGGCGGCACCGAGTACTGTTGCTCGCCTGAGAAAAGAGCCGAGGACCACGGAGTGAGGGCGATCCCAAGGTTGAGGGGCATTGTGCAAGGTGGGGGACAGAGTAGACTGAGTTTGGGGGGGCACTAGGGTGCCCAGCGGAAGCCACCCACCTCACAACTATCTCCGATTCCTTTCCCCTAGCACTCATTCCCCCTGGGGCTTGGAAAAGATCCTCGGGACACTGGCAGATGTGGAATGGCATTTTGGGATTGGGAATGGAAAAAGACTGGATCTTTTTCTTTTAAATTGCGTGGGCTCTTTATTTCCCAGGTGCCTTTGGATGGATGTCTTCTTCCTTCTCCAATTTGCCCTGGGTTGGAAATTCCAGGAGGGAGGTGTGCAAAAGGTGGGAAAGACCTGCGTCCACCCCACCTGCTTACCCAGCGAGCCTTGCTGGCCCATGGGGTCCTCGTGCTTGAAGGAATGGTTGGGGAACTGCGCAGCGTGGTGTGAAGCGGTGTGACCATAGCTGGGTGTCCCGTCAAAGGTGACCGTGCTGTATCCTGAGAGAGCGACAGAGAGAAACACATCCGTGTGACTCTTGGGGAAACAGAGGCAGAGATCTAAACCAGAATTAGAGCAGCAAGAAGTAGTGCCTGACCCCCCCCCCAAATTCTGGCTTTCAAGGGAGGGTTGTATATACCACTTCAACTACCAAGACTTCTGTCCAGAAGAGCCTAAGTCCCAGGGCTTATCCTGGGGGACAGCCTTTGGCCACTAAAATCCTGACTGTCCTGCTTTTTTCCCAATCTATGTACACCCGGTCTTCCACAGTGACTGTAGCTTCCCGCACCCACAAAGTATGAAAACCTCACCAGCTTGATGGAGAAAGTATCTTCCCTCTCAGAAAAACAAACACCTAGGCTTTAGCGTGGAGGCCGCAGTGGGCAAGCAAAATGAATCTGCTCAGCTTGACCCTACGCTGACTCTAAGCTGTAAATCAGGAGCCCGTGCACCAACTTTCATTAATTACTCAGAGCCCGTTAAATGGCCAGCACTTTAAATGGGGAGAGTAATTACTGGGTAATGTTATCTGTCTGGGGGCTGCACAACCTGACACCGTAACAGAGGCCCTGTTTGGGGCGGGGGCTGGAGAAGGAGAAAAGAAGGACCCTTTTCTGTGGGCGCAGGGGAGTCCGACTCGGACCACTGCTATGGTGGCCAGCTTCCTTGTCCCACAGGCCAGAAACTGCCCAGGGAAATGTCTAGGTGTCCTTTCCTTTCCAGGGCAGTGCCTAGTGCTGCCTCGGTTTCCCTGCTGAGAAGACAAGCTTCATGTTTATTCCTTGTCCCGAAAACACGAGAAAAGGAGGATTGTTTCTCAATTGGAAAACGTAGTCTGTTATGATTATTGTTATTAAATGCCTTGGAATCAATGACTCCTTTGTGCCATCCCCAATCCTTCCATCCCTCTCTTCACCCCTGCTGTTAGCTCCTCTTGGGAACAGGGCATCCACACTTAAGATCAGCCCTGACACCCTGAATCTTGGGGTGGGGCCTCTTCTATGCTCAAGGTCCAAAGGATGAATACCGAAGTCCTGGCCAAATGGCAAGCGGACACACATCGGCTCCCGCCCTGCAGGGCCAAAGCCAACTGAACTCCCCCTCCTCCCCCAGAGCGCCCCCCTCGGCCCTTTCCCTTCCTTCCGATCGGTCTCCAAATCCCACAAAATTTCTTGGGATCCCGGTCAGGCAAAAGACTTCCCCCACTCTTGTCGGAGTGTGACCCAAGTTCTGCAACAAGTGTTCCCGACAACTCAGTACCAAAACAAGAGGCTTAGTGAACGTCCACTTTCAAAGCGCGTCGTTGACACCCTCCCCGACAACAATCGAGATTCGATCGTTCACTCGGGGCCAAGAAAGACACAGTCCAGATAGTGGTAGCGTTTCTGAGCCAGAAGGAGGGAAAGAGACAATCACCTGAATGGTACAGGCCAAGCGCAGGGCTTACGCGCCGCGCGCAGATGGGTGTTGGGAAGCAAATGAGTTTTTTGTTTTTTGTTTTAAATTTGCGTGACCCTGGAAAGCCTCCATTTCTCGCCTGGTAAGTGGGCAAAGAGAACCCCCGTCCCACGAGCTCTCTGGTGCGAGTGAGCGCGCTGCGACTTCCTTTTGGAAGTGGAAGTTCGACCCTACCAAAGAGCCTCCCAACGAAATTTGACTCCAGGCGCCCAACTGTGCCCAGAGAAAGAGCTGACTATCTGCAAGGGCATCTTCTGAATAAAGAGGGGCAATACAAGAAACAAAAGAAATTTTCTCTAAACGAACCCTTCTCCATTTTCGAGCGGAAGAGCAGGCAATGACTTCGGGGGGGGGGTCGCCCCCGTGCAACGTGGGACAGCCGCTGCTTAAGGATGCGGGGTGCTGGGCTGCGCTTCCTGGGCCGCCGGCTCCTGCTGCGATGGCCCCCCGAACTCCGGCCTAAGGATGCCGGTGCCCCGCGAGGCTCCCTAGCGCCCACCCTCTGAACAAGCAGACTTCGAACCCACTCTCCCTCGAGTCTCCCAGGAAGGGCAGTGCTGAAAACGCTCTCTGGACTGAGGGCTCTTTTAATTAGAGGCTTATCAGACCTGGGGCTGATTAGAGGCACGCTGTCCCTTGGCCCCTGAGCTGGGCCTGGCCGGGAGGGTGAAGGCGGGAGCCGGGGGAGGAACCGCTGCTGGCTCGAAGGAGCTGTGTGTTCAAAGGCTCCTTGTACAGGCCTTGGGGCTGGAGGGCCCGGCAGCCAAGGTAGCGCCTTTCCCACGGTTAGTCCGGGCCGGGGAGGGGAGTGCAACCTTGACTTCGAAGAGAAGAGGCTCGGAGCCTCCCTCCCCCATCCGTGGCTGCCAAGGAGCCCAGGTCCTTGCCTAGCTGGCCCTGGAGGAGTGGAGGGGTACAATGGCCAGATTGTGGTAGAATGGATGATTGTGCCCAGAAGGCTGAAAATGATCACTGTAGCTGCAATGGGGGGGGGGATGATAGGAGGAAATCTCCCCCAACGAAATACCCTCTCCCATGTGACCAAAGCGGGGCGCCTTTGGCCCTCAGGTTCAGCTTGTCTCCCCACATGACCCTAGGATAGCCTAGTAAGCCCAAGGCCTAGACTTGCAGTTTACCAGTCGGGCTATGGAGGAGCAAGACCTGAGTGGCAAAGTAGCCTAGTCTGTTCTGGGCCCCTTCTTAAACCTTGCATTCCAGCCAGGGTGAGGGAAGTCATTACCGGACTCTGAGAAACCATCCAACCATCAACACAGACAAGGGAGTGCGCCTCCAAATTGGGTAGAGGAAATTCATTTCAGCTACAGAGCCCCAGAAAACAGTGTGGTTTCAAATCCCAACTCTGTCACAACCTGAGAGATCTCTTGCACACCTCATCTGGTAGTGCCTGACTTTTTTCTTCCTTGTACAGAAAGAAGGTTCCTTCAGCCTCAGGCTTTGAGATTCTTTCAAAAGTTCCTGCCACTACCAACTGTCTCAATTAACATTCAGTCCCCAGTACCTGGCACAAAATAGAAGCTAAATGTTAGTTAAATTAATGTTTACAAGATTGGTCTGTCAACTATATTTATTTCGCCTGTAAGAAATTTTGGAAGGGGTGAGTGGGACCAGAAAGGGTCTTTGCCTATGGACCGGATTCTGAAGGACAAACAGCCTAGAGTCCTCTCCTTTGGAGTTTGCGCTTGGTGTGCTGATGGCCATAATCACAATGACACCTTAGCTTTTGCCAGCCGAAGCTACCTACCAGGCCTGGATTCCTGGTGAGAGAGCTACAGGAGCCCATAAATCAAAGAACTGTGGAAGAATCTTCCACCTTAAAAACCTGCTTGTCTACTTTTTAAAGATGTTTTTAAGAGTAGGGACTAGAAACCAAGTGCCAGTGTCTCACACCTGTAATCCTAGCTATTCAGGAGGCTGAAATCTGAGGATCACAGTTCAAAGTCAGCCAGGGCAGAAAAGTCCATGAGACTCTTATCTCCAATTATCCATCAAAAAGTGGGAAGTGGAGCTGTGGCTCAAGTAGTAAAGTAGAGTGCTAGCCTTAGGGAGGAATAAAAAGCAGCTGGGGACAGTGCCCAAGCCTTGAGTGCAAATCCCAGGTCCAGCAAGTGTGGTAGAGGGGGATCACACACACACACACACACACACACACAAATAGGGACTAAAGTGGCTTGTAAACACCACACAAATCCCAGCTCCTAACTGCCAAGTGAGTCCAAAGGGTGACCCCCTTGTTTTGATTAGAAGGGAAAATGTAAGCTGAGGATAGGAATAAGTTTCTAGGAAAAGGTCCTAGTTTGGAAACGTCTTTCCACAGGGTTTTCTGCATGGGCAGGGTTGGTGAAATGATATCTTCACCTGACCATCCTGGGCTTTGGCTGGTTCCCAAGTGATTTTTTTTTTTTCTAAAGCAGCCTGGCCTGTGTACTTGGGAAGACTCAAGAGTTTTCCCAGAAGTGCAGTGTCCATGGGGTTTAAGTCTATACACTGCACTGCACTACACACACACACACTCATACACACAGAGAGAGAGAGAGAGAGAGAGAGAGAGAGATGAGACAGAGAGAGAGACAGATAGACAGAGAGAGAAAGAAAGAGGGGGGAAGAGAAAAAGGGGGCGGTAAGGAAGTGTAGGCACTCCTGCAGAATGCTGTACATAGGCGCCTAACCCAAACAAGAATCCAGGCTTCAAAAGTACCAAAGGAACTTAGATGAACTTAAATAAAAGAGAATGGTGCACTAGTATTTTGCAGCCCAGGGGACTGGATCAGATAGCTCTGGAGCCTCTCCAAACACTCATCCAGCAGTCTTACGCACACCTGTGTGGCTCCGCTTCCCAGTGGGTGATGTTTCAGTGGGCAGCCCCTGGCCCTGAGCCTTGGGGAAGTCAGACTTTCACACCTATGGCTATAGTTTTATCGGGAACCAACCTCCAGGTTGCCCACCTTAGCTCTCCTTTTACAAAAAAGAGCAAAGGGCTCTGGAGATTCGCCAAAGGTTAACAGTTGCCTGTTTTAAAAAAAAAAAAAGTGGCTGCGATGGACACTACACTGTTGCAACAAGCACAAAAGAATCTCAGAACGCCTTCGCATCTGCTCTAGACTCCTCCGTGGGTCTCAGGCCGCAGTCCCTGGATGAAGGGGGCAGTTTCGGTTTCACTAGGGCTTCGGATGGCCCAGGTGCTCCACAATCGGGCTACATGAGGAATGACCTCAAGACATCCATTTAGGAGGCCGGGGAGAGAGCGGGTGAGAACCGAACCCTTAGGGCCAAGTGAAAGTTTCGGCACCTTGGCGATGGTCACACATTTTGTTTCTCCCATCCCACGCACTTCAGAACCACCACCACCCTCCTTAAACCAGCACGAATTCTTACACTTCAGGAAAAAAACATCCGCAAAACCATTTCCTAAAAGATCTAATTATATACCCAATTCGTTTGGGTTCTCGATATCAAATAAGTCAAATGAGAATAAAGAGATCTCACTCACTCAGTGGCTGGGCCCAAGGCGGTCCCTACTGGCTCTGCCGAAAGAGAGGTTGAGGCCAATGCCAGATAAGACAACAACAGATTTGCGCGTGTCTGGGTGTGGGGGGGGGCACCTGCGCACAATCACTGAGGATGACCAACAAACCTGTTCTTGTCCTGACCCCCCCCCTCCCAAGTTCCTACAAAAACCTTCCCAGCCGAACCTCGCACTGACAACTACTAGAAAAGGCCTCAGCCCATTGCTTGTGATGGGACCAGGTCCCACATGATTTGTAATCGGATAAACCGGGTTCTCTTCCAGCCCCGTAGCCTGCGTGCCTGGCGCCTCCTGGAGAGGTTCCTGTTTTACCATACCCAAGAGATAGATGCCAGACACAGACCTAAATAGTGGCCCATTCATTTACTCCGGTGTAGTGCTTGCAGCCCAATACTTACTGGGCGCCTGAGACCTCAAACCTCAGGAAGGACTAGGATACTCCTAGCAGAAGAAGGATAGGGAGCCTGGGGAGGGGGAAGGGAAGCGGAGTCCATCCACCTCGCCCTGGCTCCCATCGGAATCCGAGGCCTAGATATCGGTAAAGCCCAATGCCCGGTGACAACACGGCCAGATACCGAATACCGAATCTCCTTCTTCACTGCCCTGATGACTCGATCTCAGAATTGCCGGGCTCCTAGGGGCCCCCTGATGGCCTCCCGGCTCGTGCGAACTCATCAAGGGTTTCCCGCGTTTTGCTCTGCGGGGGAGGGGGGGAAGGAGATGGGGAGCTCGTGCCCGAGGGCACATTTTCCACCCAACCCCCCCACAACCGCTCCCACTTCTTCCATGGCTTTTGGGGAGTCCACGGAGAAGCGCTGGGATTAAAGAAAGGCTAGGCGAGGGGAGAGGCCGGCCGGGGCGAGCTGCCCCGCGCGTAGGGGGCGCTCCCCGGCGTTACTCACCCTGGTTGCGAATGGCGGGCTGGCTCTCCAGGCAGCTGGGCAGGTAGGGCGCATTGGGGAACATCCTAGCCTGGCCCGAGGACGCCTGGCTCGGCGGGGGAGGACCGAAGGGCCCGTAGCGGCAGGCTCCGGCGGTGCCGGTGAACTGCCCGGAGAAGTGCACGGTGAAGGCGCTCAAGCATTGCTCCTCGTGCGGCTCCGCGCCGCCCCAGCTGGGCTCCTGTTTGATGAAGGAGTGGGGCGGCGGCGGGGGCGGCGGAGGCGGCGGGGCCGACGGCGGGGCCGGACCACCCAAGGAACCGTAAGCCGAAGCGCCCGGGGGCGCGAAGTCCAGCACCGGAGCCCATTGAGCCGCGCCGCTTACTGGCAGGGCGCAGCCACCGCCGCCCCCCAGGGAGGGTACGGCGGGCAGCAGCGCGTTCAGGTCCCGCACGTCGGAGCCCATTAGCTGCGGCTCAGACCCCGGCAGCCTGCGGCTCCTCCGACCCGGCGGACGCTTGGCCACTGGACTCGGCCGAGCCTAAGTTGGTGGGGAGGCTGCCCGGGCCTCGGCCCCTCCGCCGATCGGGATGCTGAAAGCACCCGGGTTCCAAGTAGAGCGCGTGCGGGACGCCGGCTTGGGGGGTGGGGGGCACACGTGGAAGAGCCGGCCCCAGCAGGAGGAGGAAGTCCGGGCTTCAGCGAGGAGGCGGCGGGACCCGGGGTTCCTGGGCTGCTGTCCCGGCTCTGGGTGGGTGGGTGAAAGAGTGGGAGGGAGGACTGGAAAGGAGGGGGTCAGCGCAAGGCGATCTGGGCGCGGAGAGCCCCCGGGTGTGGGCGCTGCCTTGAACTCCTTACCCCAGCTGCCTGGCTGCCCCCAGCTTCTCAAAGCTCAAATAAGAGGGGCCGGCAGTGGGGAAGGAGGAGGAGCCGGGAGGCTCGGCCGCTCCATTCACACAGCGGCTCCGGTCTAGCGGGGCAGCGCAGACTCTTCTGGGGCGCCCTCACAGCGGGGGCGGGGGGCGGGCCTGGAGGAACGTCCCTCTCGTCCAAGACACCCTCCTCTCCTGCCCGCCACGCGCTCTCCACTGGCCCGGATGGCGCAGCCCTCCCTCCCCCCTCCCCACCTCCCCTTCTGGGCCTTCGGGAGTGTGGGCGCCCAGCGGCACCAGCAAGTCCCTGCAGGTAAATGGGGTGTCCCCCCCCCCAGTCCCGGGACGCGGTAGGAGAACAGACCGGGTTGTTAGACTGAGAGAGGGCGGGCTGGAGGGAGGGGCGGGTGGGCTCCAAGGGGGCGGGCACTTCAGCCAGGCGAGGAGAACTCTGGAGGTTCAAAAGCCGCTGCTACCCTTGGTGTGATCACCGTACCCCCTGCGCCCTACAGTTCAACAAGCTTAGCTTTTGGCTATTGGCGAGAAATCGGTTCCTGGAAGTTTGGGTATCCAGGAGGGATGGCGTCAGTGATGACAAGAGGAACGCCCCCCCCCCGACTGCCTGGTAGTTTGGTGGAGATTTGGTCCCAGTGGAAAGTGGTCGGTGCTTACCTAAAATTGGTGTTGGAAGCAACACTTTAACTTTCCATCTATTTCTATTCTATGATTAAATGGCAAGTGTGAGGGGGAAAGAAAGTCGTTGACGAGCAAACGCCTTGAGCCTGCTAGTTTAATCCCACTGTGGAGTTCGGGCGCCCCGTTGGGGAGGGTTTGGACACGGGTGGGACAGATGTGGCTCCGGCCGCCACTTGGCCACGCACGGCTTTCGTTCCTGAGCCCTGATTTGATTCTGGAGGCGCAGCGATCGACCCGGGAGGCGCACAGCCGTTAGGCTAACGGAGCCGTGGGCCTGGGAGGGCTCGGCTGGCCCACAGCCAGACGCATGTTCACACCTTTGGCAGCCTGGAGCGCAAGGCAAAATGAACTCCTCCCTCCAGTTATGAGCTCTTTGGGAGCCCTGTGCCTTCGAACAGGTGTTTGGAGGTTGCTTTGGTCTATGGGTTGGTTCTTCTAATGTAGTCGGATCTTTTGGAGACACCGTCTGTAGGCGAAGGAGAAACGCCAGGCGTCTGGCCTGAAGTGCGTTTCTGGGCGCGTGGAAACGCCCAGGAGCGCCGGGAGGCAGCGGCGATGGCGGAGCCTGGGACTGCCAGGCGCGCCGGGCAGGAAAAGACCGATTCCAGCCAGGACAACTGCACCAGGCTGTCTGGGCAACTTTTCTAGTCAAACCTAACGACGCAAAGCAACAATGGAGGCAATTGCTGTTTTACAAATAAAAAGATCATCCCCAAGACCTTGCTTTTTAGTCCCCATTTGTTATACTTTGGTTTCTTTGCACGGAGTAAACACAGTCGCCCTGAACTCTAGTTGCAGAAACGAAGTGCCGTGCCACGACCAACAATTGCCTCCTCTTCTTGGGGCTGCGCGCCCTGTAGGTGAAGACTGTGGGGTTAAAGGTTGAGAACCACACTTGTCTGCTACCCCGCCAGCCCGGTGGTAGAGAACACAGCATTTAGTGCTTGACTTTGCTGTGTCTTCACTTAGGACGTTGTTGTTTTGTTTTTCTTTAGAAAGGAGAGAGAGAAAGATCGCTGGGCTCTCCAGACTCCCCGGTGTGCCCCATCCCTAAACCTCCAGGGCTTGGCAGAGAGAAGCAGAGACGTTGCAGAATGGTCGTTTTGGTGGAGACTCTCATTTAAGATTAAACTTGTCAAAGCCAAATTGACTCCCTAGGAACCCCAGCCGCCCCTTCTTCCATCCTCCTTTCCACCTCTTATTTCTACTTGGAAGTCATTTTCTTCACTAGGACTCAAGCACCGGCAGAGGGAAGAGAGCTCTGTGGAAAGCCAGAGTTTCACTCCCAAATGAAAAGGCTCCGATGGTTTCTCTTTTCATCGTTTTGCAAGGTTGGGTTTTGTGGGAGGGGGGTGTGAGGTTGGTTCTCTGTTGAGAAGCTAGTTTGACGTGTGCTTTTGGGATCTCGAATCTCAAGCAGAGCAAAAACAAATCTCTTCCTTCACGCTTTACAAGCTGGTTTTTTGCCTGGAGGTAGCCTTCCCAGGTGGGTGGGAGGAGAGGGGCGCTGGCAATTTAGGATTCTTCCGGCCATTTGTTTGTTTGATGGGGAACCCAGGAAGTGAGATGTTCATTTCAAACCTAGGGTGCCCCCCAACTCGCCCCGACTTCACCCCACCCCAAGGTGGGAGGAGTTCCCGGAAACCCTCCGGGAGGAGAAAGGAATACTCAAAAGTTTCAAGCCGCTCGCCAACCAGGCCCCACCCCACCCGGTCGGACAGAGGTACCCTTGTACCCCCTCATCTTCCCTTTTCCGCGCACCCCGAAAGTCAACTCTGGAAAATCTATAAGCTTCCAAGGTTCCCGGGCAACGCGTTCTTTCCAAGTCTCCCTGGGACTTGGACTCTGCGGGCCTGCGCAGAAGCGCTTTCCGCCCATCCTGCAACTGCTTCAGCCCCCAAAGCCCTTTGAGGTCCCAGAAAGATGCAGGCTGTGGATTCCCGGACGCTCGCTACTCCCACTATTTCCCGCCGGGGTCAGCCCAGAGACCCCTTAGCAGAGAATCTAGGTCTTAATCGTCAACGAATCAAGTTGGAGATTAAACTCCTGGTTTTAGAAAGGCGATGTGTAGGACGCAGTGGTTAAGAGCAAGGGATTGGTGGTTTGTAAATCGAATGTCAGCTTCCTCCCGTCCTCAACAGCTGTGTCATCCTAGACCATTTCTGCAGCCCTTCCGAGCCTGTGTCCATAGGTAGCACCCACATGCTGCGCTACCTCGTAGGTCAGATAGAAGCGCAAGAGTTGCGTTATGCACTGGACAAACGGTAGTTTTTGCCTATTACGGTTCAAGGACACCTGTAGCAAGGCCATGCTGAAGCCCAGATCTCTCAACGTCCAGTTCTCCCATGGGGTGTCTTTAATTCTTGTCCTTCTGCTCTTCTAGAACTAATGGAAAGGAAAGAACGAACGTGGAAGCCCACGTTCAACATTGGTCAAGTAAAAACATTCCAGCCGAGAAGGTGCCTAATTACTGCAATCTTAAAAACATCTCATCTCGGTGGGGGGGGAGGCAGTGAAGCCCTCCCCGCACCCCGCCGGGTATCCTTTCACCCCAATGTTGTCAACTGCGTCTGGCAGAGCTTGGAGCTTAGCGGCTCCAACCGCGACTCCAGGGACCAGCGCGCACTTCCCGGCCGTGCGCGCCGGCAGTCACCCCGCGGCCGCGGACAACTGAATAAACATACCGAAGGGCAAGGAAGGACTGGGGCCACCAGCCCGCCAGCCGGGCTGCAGATCCCTAGCGTCTCCCCCGGCCACCTCCTCCACCCCCTGGAAGGAACGGGCACCTCTCCCACCGGCTCGTGCCGACGATCCCCAAGGGCAGGACAAACACCCCAACCGCTTCTCCCTCTCCTCTCAGCCAACTCCAACACAACTATCTGCCTGTCTGCGCCGCTGGTTCCCATCCCGCATCGACGGCAAAAAGTTTAATTTCTAAAGTGAATAATAATACATTAAACACGGGAGAGTCTTTTGTGCTATACAGCCCGCTCCTAGGCACCCTCTGTTCACTGGAAAGTTATTTCGATCTATTTTGATCAGCTATTTGATCTATTTTGATTCACGGCTCAAACTCTCCTTTCTGATCTGATTTTGGGGCCCAGACCTATTGACTGCAGCTTGTTACGTGGTGCATTTTCCCTCTCCCCACTCCCCCACCCCCTCCCCAGCCACAGCCGGCGGTGCCTGGAGCCGCCGGGGTTACCCAACCCGGTCGGATCTGATGCGTTCGCGAGATGGTCCCCGAGTCCCCAATGAAAGGATTCCGCAGCGAGGCCTCTATTATTATACCGTAAATCTTTTTAAATTCTGGAACTAATTATATAGAGGATATGTCTCAATTTGTTCTGCATTAATGCCACAGTGGGGATAGAGGCCAGGCCGTGGCCAGAGCAGATACGTAGGCCCATGAAATTGATGAACTGAGAGTTGCTTCCAGTCCTGGGCGCACCATCTGGAATTCCAGTCTGAGGTTACAATTAGAACTCCTGACCCCAGATTCAACTTTGCAAACAACCCGGGGGGGGGGAGTGGAGAATGGGGGGCAAAACACACACACACACATACAAGAAGAAAAGAAGAAACAACTTCTTTGCACCTGTAAAAAGAAAGAAAAAAAGAAAGAAGGAAGGGGGAAATCCCGATGTCTTAGAAATTTCTTTCCAAGTATTTCGTTTGTGTTTTTTAACCTATAAAAGATAATGGAATGTATTTTATAGGCTGGATTTTATCTTGTCTCCTTTCACTCTTCTGACTGCACTCGGTTTTGTAATTGTCATTTTCCCCTCAGCGTTGGGTTTGATTATATAGGACCAAAACAATCCTCAGTAAATTAGTTTGATAAGTATTGCCACTCTCATGATGTCCCTTTTGATAAATAGCTTAATTATAGAAATCTACCTGGATCCAAGAACTCCTGTTTTTTTTTTAATGCTACTTAAGCTTAACTGTAGTAATCAGAGATTTTATTTGTGCTGTAATTTTATTTGTATTCTAAATCCTTGGGGCAAATGTAACACACTTCTTTTATTTTCCTCTCACTTTGACCTCCTGAAGAACTGAAGGACTAGGCAGTCCTGGGAATTTGTTAAATTTATTAGCATACATGCTTAGACAAAACGAGATATAAATCATACAGATGTATTAAGCCATAAAGTATCCCAATGAAGTCAACCCCTTGCCAAGGACCTGGTGTGTAAATGTTCATATAAAACAAGGTATCAGTATTCTCTTTCAAACTGAATATGTGCTTTAGGAATACTCAGATGTTGAGTTAGAAATACCACAGGGAGAAGTA